TTATTTGAAATCGGCAATGACTTATTTGCCAACCTAATAATTAGTTTCAATGGACTGTAAAGTTTCATTTTTCAGGTGAAAATTTATTTTCTCAATATGGTAACGTCATCCTGTCTGCTTTTGATTTATTCATTCTTTAAATGAAATCGCCTTTCAAGTTGTTAGTTAAGGTTATTTATGTTTACTTTTAGTTAGCTCATTGCCGTCCAGTTGAGTTTGACACTTTGAGCACAAACGGTGGGTCCTCCCAGAATCGTCAATCGCCCTGTGAATCTCGATGCTACTACCGGTGTTTTGGATCGTGTCGTCAAATCTTCCCCTCCCTTGACGAACTTCGTTCTCATATGAAAACATGCGTCTACGCTTTGGCTACTCTTAAACGAACCATTGGGGACCTTCTCTTTAATTCCAATATCCCAGTTGAACCGACTCAAGGGCAGGGCTCAGATATTGCAAATAATGGGAAGAATCCACATTGCTTGTGCCTTTTTTGTGATATTAGCACAAATTATAACGTTTCACTTGGTAAGTTGAGTTCTTAATGCTTACTTTATTTATTTGGCTTTGAATTTGAGTTCTAGTCAATTTGTTTCACATGTATTGCATTTCTTTTCACTTAAATCCTGCCTAGAACCAGAAACGGTCCGTACGATATTATAATGCAATCTTTTCCCATTTTTGATCATATATATCCTGCTTCTAGGTAAGAAAGACGACTCAGCGACACTTTCGTCCACTGGTTTCCCTAATTTAATTCCGACATCACCCAGCACCTTCCAACCAGCGGAGCCGTTTGAAGATTTGAAGAATCTTCATGACCATGAGTACACAACGCACGTGGCAGGCAGTTCTTTGATTAGTGGTGGAAATCAAGCTGGCTGTCCCTTTTGCAGGGAGAAATTGACCTTGAAAACATCTGACTCGGGGAATGGAAGTGCTTTCGAACTCTTGAATCATCTACGAAAGCATGCTATGGCAAATCCGTGAGTGTTGTGACGTTTCTCCATCATTTGCACAAAATAGTTGGCTAATTTCTTTTATAATTGTAGATACGTATCTTGGCAGATGAATCGAATGCGGCTTTTCAATGACATTCGAGCTGGCAAGTTTCATTTCTGAAATTTTGATTGCTCTAGGTACTCTTACGTTAGTTTGACTAGGCTCGTGGCAATACAAAGGTCATAAGTAAATCTACTTAATCATGATTTATTTCTTACACCAATTTGTTGGATTACGATATGATCATTAATAATGGCGTCTAAATGATATGCATCGGTCCATTACATATACTGGGGTTAGGAGTTCGAAAGCTTGTCCCACAGATTTTACCGACTCTTCAAGCCATGTTGTTTTTTTGCATCATTCTTGTCAAAGAAGGGAAAGATTGCTGGCACCTTTCAACAAAGGGTATGGTGACTGCGCGTTCTAGTTGGCAATCTAATTTAAACTGATTGAGATGGTCGAACTTCAAATGACTGTGAATCTGCTCTCCTTAAAATTAGCTTTCACTGGAGTTTCAACGGTTTGCCTTTAAATAACTGTTCCAGTCAAATGTTCTCAATGATATTAAAGAACTAGGTTTTAGGGAATAGGGGGTTCTATTTACTACTTGACCTATTTAACAATTTTGATTTCTGAGCGGAAGTCACAAACAGTGGTATAAGCACAATTATGTTCGTAAAAAATTGCAATTTTCAAAATATTTCCTAATGTTCGCTATTAGAGCTCAAATTTATAGAAAATACTTTCAATAGTCTCCCAAAATGTACATTTTTTCTTCGAAAAGTTAAAAGGCTTTGTTGCAATTAAAAGTCTTATGAAGATTCAGTCATTTTTACGCGCAATTTTGCTTTTGCTGCAACTTTCCGTGCGATTTTTAAGGTTTGAATTCTGTGTGACCAAGTGGTCTTTTTTTGCCTCCAATTCAGAGGTTGTTATGTGCCACTGTCACACGGGATTGTTGGACTCGCCCTTAGCTCTGATGGCGCACGCTGCTGCCTTGCCTACTTCAGCAAATGTGTTTAGAGGTTCTTCACGAATTCACAAATTCGGTGACGTAGCTCTCTTGCCCTTTCCTAGCCTCTTCTCGTCTCATCTCAAAAATAATTCCACCAGACCAGTCACCGCCCCAATTCCCATGGAGGTTCAGTTGGCTTCAACGCCCACACCAACTCAGACAGCGATTAACGCGAATGAAGCCACTACGACAAATGGTGGTGCCATTGAAACCCGCGAAAGAAATGTAGCTGGAGTTGCGACAGTGAAATTTTTATACCAACCCGGTGGGCATCCTCCTCTTTCCAAAGAGGTCTATGAACATGTGAGTTTATGTATGTATCTCATAGTTGGCTGTTACATTTACTCTACCTTTATTTTTCCTCGTGATTCCGTCACTAAAACCATTTCATTCTCTTCATTATGCGCTTCAGTAAATAATACAGCTTTAATGCTCTTTTAATTTAAAAACCAAACATACTTTCTCCTGTGCTTTTTTTCTCCATGAGGTTGTAGTACTGGTGTATTGATACTAGCTAACTTTACGAAGTAATTTTCTTATTTTTTGTGAATTCTCAGTTTTGAATACTTTCGGTGATTGAAGTAAGATCGGTTTCACTATCATATTGTCATGACTGCCAGGAACCGAATTCAATCGATTGAAAGAAAAAAAATATTTTAAAATCCATCCATTTTAAAGGGTCTTGAGCTGAGGAGGTTCCCCCTATATGTCAAGATCGCGGCACTTGTTTTTGGTTGCATTTGAACTGATTCATCCAGAACAGTATTTCCAAATTCATCTTTCAGCCTTAATTGCGTTAGGAATAGATTTTGACGGCTAGATTCCACACTAATTGTTTGAATGTGAATTCATTGTCCGTCTTAATAAAATAGATTTTTTATAATTTCAATTAGCGTTTTTTCGTATTTTTTTGTAGTTACCTGATTTTTTTGTGCTCTCCCTCTTCTATCTTATTTTGGAAACTGAGGTATTGGTTTCTTTTGATTGTAGAAAAAATTTGACGCTTCAAAAATTCTATTGTTTCACGCACAGTGCGCACTTACTACTATATATTCTAATGCTATTGAATTTTTTATTTTGCTATTACAGTTAAGATTCGGTCATTACTTCGAGCTTGACGATCGTTTAAGAACTTTCAATGTCTCCCTGGATTCAAACGATGCTCCCTCATCTGCAGCTAACAAGGTCTTTATTTGCCCTATTTGCCAATATCACGGGGCTTCCCGCTGGGCCCTCACAGAGCATGCATTTTTCTTTCATTGGGTTAGTAACAAAATGATTTATAAAGCGGTATTGCTACTTAAGATTATGTGATATCGTATGCACTTTCCAGCTGCGACTTTGTTACATTTGCTGCGACTACATTTACGATGATTCAGCTTGTGATCACAGCTCCAATGAGAAGAGTATTTGGAGTCATATCTACACCTGCCTTAACCATCGACACGCCGCCATTCTTTCCTTCAAGTCTGGCCTAGACGAATCTTTTGAGAATATGGGTGTTCAAATGCACCAACCAGGAAAGAAGCGGCGACACACTGCTCAGGAAACTGAAGAGTTTGCTACAGAATCTTCTGAGATATTTATTCCACCTTCTATTCTTCATCCATCTTCGCATACAATTGAAGACAGATCTGGTGATCTCGATGAAAGCCAATTTAGAGATCCGTCTTCGTGTGAGAGTATTGTTCCTTTGATTCTCTGTTTTTATTATATGGGAAGAAATGTATATTTTGTCTCCTACTTTTTGACTCAAAGCCGACAAAATGATCCTAAGGCTAACTTGTCAAGGTGAATAAAACATGGCTTGGCTTGTTTACACAGTCATCGGGTCGTGCAGGCTTAATTTCCCGAACTGTCATGATTTTCTGCTATCCTAGCATTATATGATGCTCCCGAATTTTTTAAGAGTGCGGAATCGCTCACCGCTATAGTAATTAAGTTCTAGAAAAGCAAGGAGGGCGATAATAATCCATGTGTAGCGACGGTGGGATTCGGTCTTCTGCCACCTCAGAGAAATGAATGTTTGGCCAATGAACTCCCCAAATTCTAATCCACTGGGGTTTATTTTATTAGGCGCTGTCAAGAAAAACGCCAATTGGTGTACCCGTCTGCTAAGGTTTCGTGCCTCTGTCTACGGAACTCTCACATTTCTCTTGTTGAAAAGTGTCAAGATCCATCTAAATAGTTTGGCTAATGGTGAGGGCTAATTTTGTTTACATCCAGGTTGATTGGAAACCAGATCTCATTGTGCTATGTTTTGGTTTCTATGTGTGCTCGCCTGGGTGTGTGTATATGCTGAATTACGGTTTGGTTGAGCTCTTGTAGTGTCGTATTCTCTTTTTTAGAAAGGCTAAAACTGTAGCTTGATCGTTTGATAAATTTTGAAATTCTTCACTGTTGTTAAAATTGATATATCCCTTACTACGCTTCTATGTTAAATTTGAGATCAATTATCCTTCCTGCTTATTGGTAACCATCCTCTCATTGGTTATAACTCGGGAATGACGAAAATCTTTCTTTCAAATTTGATTGAACTATCGACTGTTGAATCTCACAGTTAGTGGACGTTTTAAAAGTGTATCATAATTATGCACTTATATTGTTGTTTTATTTCACGCGAATGTTTATCTGACTATTAACTTAAGAACTTGTTATTCAAATTGTATGTTGATGATACTTAACCATTCGTCACTTTGTGTTGAAGCTTTCCCAATGCAACCCACGGACGTTGCAGAAGACGATGTGCCTCTTGCGATACGGGCCCAAACCGATGGCCTCAGTGATAACGCTGTCTCTTCGAGGAACCCCCGATGACGATGATGGCGCTTAGCTGGAACCTTTAACCTGCTTTTATTACCGCCTTTTGCTTGTTCCTGTTGTTATTTTTTCATACATTACTACAAATACGCAAAAATTGCTTTTGCGAACCATGGCTCTTTTGTTCCGATTGAATTATTCGAATGGATTGGGAGACTGAAGTGTAAAGTATAAGTCCACACATGTTAAAGAGCAGGTTTATTCAAGCCTCTTAAATACAATAAATTACGAAGATAGCTTACTCAAACCCTGGAAGCAGTCCATTGTCAAATAACTGCTGAAAGTGCTAATGACATAGCTATATTCGCCGCATTTTTATGCCATGAATTACACTCTCCAGCTTGAACTCCAACAACGGTCCAGTGGACCTCCACTTTCTACACCAAGAGTGATGCGCGATTAAAATAGCTTCTTTACTACAATTACACAAAAGTATATTCTTCAAATATTTGCTAGAATATCACCGGTATTCAAAGACTAAACTGGACTTACTTCCATTTGCACACATTTGATCAATATGAATTACTATGCCCTTTCATTATTGATTGTTTATTACTGATTTGCTACTGTCATTTACTGATGACAGTTCTGACTAACTAGGAACTAAATACAGCCATATTTGCATTTCTCCATGGCCACGTGCTCGTTGAGGAGGTTTCGTTGACCAAAAGGATATTACTAACCTCGAGCACTATAATTTATTTATTTCAAATGGTAGGCTTTATGATATTTATCATTAGCCCTTAATCTTTGACTTCAGCTTCCCCCAAGAAGGGGGGGGGGTAGATTTATAGCAGTTAATCAATAGCAATTCATTAGCTGTCTTCTTGCTTCCCAGTATCTCTGGCTTTCCGTACTTGGCTTTAGGGCTGGACACCGAATCAGGTGGGTCTTCTCCATTTCCTCCTGTAGGTTACATAGAGGGCATGTGGGTTGAGTGTATAATCCCAAACTGTGAAGGTGTTTTGCCATGCAATCGTGTCCGGTACGTAGTCTAAACTCAGCAACGGCTTCGATTCTTGGCCAGTCGGGTATGTCGGAGAGTGCCACTGTCCACTGTTTCTCCTTTGTTCGAGCTTTAATTTCGTTGCACCTTGAGGTATGGAATTCTCTCCTGATTAAGGCCTTCATTCTGTGGAAAGACATCGGCCGGTCCATGCATTGCAAAATCGTTGTCCCCTTCTTAGCAAGTGTGTCAACTACATCAATGTCTGCTAATGGGTTCATGGGGGGAGAGAGGCTTTTTTGGTTTGTCATCGATTTATAATGCTTTCTTCAGTTCTATGGCTTTCTGTATTAGACCAGATTGCGTTTTCAGATGTCTTGGTCTATTATCATAGGTGCTGAAGAACTTGTCCATGGGAATGCGCAGTAGCTTCTCGTACAGGATCAAGGCCTTTTCTTTGATAAGGGAACCTATTGAGGTGCTTCCTGTAACTAGGAGCATTGCATCAATGGGTGTTGATTTTATCCCTCCAGTAATTAGTCGTAATGCTTGGTTGTGTGCCTTCTCGAGTGGTTTGAGAGTCACCTCTGTGGCTGTAATGAGTGGCACACAGCAATAAAACATTATTGGCTGAATAAACATCTTGTAAGTGCCTGTGTGCAAAAGATTGGATTATGATAGAACATTTCCATATCTGACTTTACATGACCTTTGTCTAATGAATGCTTTTATCCAGTTTACCATGTTATGCTTAATACCAATCTTTGCCAATTTTAGAATTAGCTTCTCTTTCCATACTAAGTGCCAAGTTTTAGAATTAGCTTCTCGTTCGATACTAAGTCATATGCTGATTTGAAATCGACGAAAACAGCATATTTCTTGCATCAATGGCATCTTTGATGTGTTGGAAGACTTCCATCAAGGGTATTTTTGATATGTTGGGAGAAAGTCGCTACTTGTTGGTTAGTTGATCTTTGATGCCTAAAACCTGCTTGTTCACTCCTAAGAATATTGTTAGTCTCAAGGAACCAGGTCAGTCTCCTGTTTACCATTCTTTCCATAAGTTTAGCCAGCACGCTTGTGAGGGAGATAGGCCTATAGTTGTCAAAGTTGTTAGGGTCTTTGCCCTTTTTTAGTACTGGTATTACTATGGCAGCCTTCCATTGGTTAGGTACGAGACTGGTCTCCCAGATTTTATTGAAAAGCGTCAGCATGGTTTCCTTGGCTTTTGGCCCCATTCTAATTAGAAATTCAGGATGAATACCATCTTCGCCAGTAGACATTTTTGCACTTGAACTGTTTTATCGCAGCATTAAGTTCGCAAGGTCTAAATGGTTCAGTAAGTACATTATTTGGTGTTGTTGTGTCTTCCTTAATTTCACCAGACTGTCTTACTTTTATCTTTGTATCTCTTGAAGATTTTCTGACAAAAGGGTTTTTCTTTTACTTGTGAGAATAGAACCTCACAAAGTAGTTAGTTATTTCTGAGTCGGTGGTAAGCAGTTTGTTGTTTAAGCGTATTGATTGCTTAACATGATCATAAGTAGAATAAAACGACCATTTTTTGTTAGGACATATAGGTTCTTTCTATTGGAGCCCTTAAAATACGTCATCAATTAAGCATTCACAACGGCCAACTGAATGACTCAACTAACCTCCCTTCGATTAATGAGTGCGTCACATGCTAACGCCCCTCCCCCAACACCCCCAAGTCCTTTTATTTGAACGCGATTAGTTTTACTCTGTTATAGGGTAGTGAGACTAGTAGGATTCCGTTTTCAAAATAAAATCAAATGTTGTCATTGGCTGTACCTCGGTCACTGACATTGCTTCCACCCATGTCGTAGCTTGTAATTAACGCTTGAAAGGGAAGAGACAAATTGGGCTAGTTAATTTGTATCTAGTTTCGGTGAATCCTCTGATAACATGATTGCAACCTGCAAAAGACATTAAAATTCGATCTGACACTATCATCATCCAAAACCACGAAGAATAGGACGTTTTCATAGATCTATCACGCTGAAATGAAGACCATTTATCACATCATTTTTGCTGACCAGATAAGGAGTCAACTTTTCCATCGGCGAATTAGAATTGTAGTATTGTTAGATTCACTCACGGACTTTGCTCATTTTCTGAAAATGTTTGCGCTGCAGCTTTCACTAGTACGATCTTATTGGGATTAAAAAAACAATTGTCACAAAATACTATTACGGAAATAAAAGCATTGGCAAAGCACAATATATTTAGATCAAATGTTAAATGTTTTTGTTGGTATATAAACAATTTATGAAAGTTAGCCACTTCCTATAAGTTATTGATGCATCGTTTCGGTAATGTACCAAGCTTTTGAGAGTAAGCTTTAAAAGAGCGCTATATTCAAAGTAGTCCATGTCTCCAATCTTGAAATTGTGAATCACATCCATAGGAATATGGTCATTTCGAGAGGCCAATGGGACAAATTTCGTCACAAATGAAATCCAGCCAATAATGTGAATTTGATCGAAAATTGAACGCCGTGTGATCAGCAGAGGATATTGTGTATAGACCTTCATAAGGGAATAGATAGGATTATCCGTTGAGCTGAAAAGACTTTGAGAAAGGAAACTATCTAAATAGTAATCCAGGTGGGAGCGAAGGTAAATTGGCAGATGAATTCTTTGGAAGAATGTCACTAAAACAGAGAAGGATTTTTTAAGTTCTTAAGTGCAAACCGATAAGTTTGTTAATTTAATTTAGATGATTCAATGCTCAAATACTGTTCCTTACTACCTATTTTGTTAAATGTGATATCTTGAGTAAAACAAGGCAATAGTCCCTTAATATATTGTCAACGAATTAGAGCCACCTCTTAGTGGTGTTAAATGATCACTTGGTCCTATTTCAATCAACAGTCATCAATTACTCTCCCTGGCCTTGTTGTTATTTTGGAGAAGAGGTGGAAAAATTAAAAAAATATAGCATCTTTTCCAGAAAAAAAGGCAAATTAAGGACTCGAATAGAACCCTATAGCAAAAAACATCTCAAAAGCCTACAAATGGGAGTTCCTAAACAGTGTCAATAGAAAATATGAAAGAAAATACGACATTATTTGAAAACCTAACTAACGTGTTCTTAGATTAAGCTTACATTCTTGGTCTTCGAAGGTGTCTGGCTGAAAATCGGTAAAACGTGAGTTGATTCGTTTCATAATAATTTCATATTCCTTCCTCTTTTGTTTCTCTTCAGCATACATTTTTCACCCCTTAAATAAGCATTGTGTATCATTTAGACAAATTCGTAAAATATCTCACCTCTCCTTCAAAATACTATATGAATACCAATGCTTACGAGTAAATTCTGAGTCTAATTTTCGCATAAATTTTCTTGAGTAGAAATCCTGCAGTAAAATTAAAACGATTGAACAGAAGTCATTTGGTGTGTAGAAATGTCTTATGACTCACATCCCCTATGTAGTTGAAGAGGATTAAAGAGGCTCCATAGTAGTGTACGAGTTTTCAATCAAAAGTTGTCTAAAGACGGCTTAAAATGTCTACAATTTGAATGGGTGAGTGTAGTATGTCATTCTGCCAATTGTCTGTTAATGGACAGCGTACAATTGCAAGAAATATGGAGGAAATCCTACTAGTCTCACTGCCCTATAACAGAGTAAAACTAAACACGTTCAAATAAAAGTACTTGACGAAGTAAAAAGTTGCCAAACTGTATAGTATGTTCGCGATGAAACTACTAAAATCTCAACGAGTTCAATGCAATTTGTCATCAAGTAAAGTAGGACCTTAATTCGCTGAATCCGTCGTATTCACAGAAGAAAACGAACCACATTAATGATAGCCTTTGATTGGTAGACCATGTTATTTAACAAAGAGGGATTGAAGTTAGACTCAATGTTATTGAGACTTTGTTTAAGTTGGTCGGCCTGGGAGCACCCCCTCTCCCTCTACGTTGGAAGATAATTAGAATTAATCGCGGAATCCACCCACTATTCACTACTTAGATGGGCCACTCGAGAGGGGAGCTCAGTACTTGCATACTGCTGGCAGTCATTGACAAGTGCAAGTCCAACGTGTAGTCGATGCCGATCGGGGGGGGGGGGGGGGGGGCTGTAGCTGCATGAAAATTTCAATCCAGAAATCAAACAGCTGAGCTGCAACCGACTAATGTCAACCATTTACTTTGAACACTAATTATAAAACCACACTGGCCTCCTTGTTGCTAACCCCCCTGATAACTCCACTATGCCCACCTTAACCTCTCCCTGGTGCATCTGCACCCACTGTTAGAAGACACTCGTCTAGTACTCTTGCCCTTTCCGCTCTTCCATTACAGCCTTTGTTCTCACATATTGTTAACCTTACTCTCCCAAAATCTTCTATATCTCAATCCAAATAGTCTCGCACTTGATTTAGTCGAAGAGTTGCCTTCTCATCTCGAATGGTCCAATAAGTAGAGCAACTAATTGTCGAGCCTTTTTTTCTATCCTCTTAGTGTCCTGACAACGCTCATGAGGGGGAGTAGTGTGGAGGCCACATCGCTGTCACGGCTGGACAAAAAATCACATGGACAGTTAGACAGACTTGAAGGTGTGGCCGTGCTACTTACCGAGTAGGGAGCAAACGCAGCCGTGAGTGCGGAGACTTGTCAGCCGCCGACAATCAATAGTCCCTACATGGTTTAACAATCCCTTCATGGTATTATAATGGCTCTTCAAATTATCTTTAACATGCACACATTTTGAAAGTATCTTGCTTTCTCTTTTCCACGAAGTTGCGTTTAGAGCATTGATGGCGCGCGCTTATTGCTTTATGTTCGATTGATAATTAGTGCTTCAGATGTTACATTATTCGGACAAGGGGATGCATATTTACTACTGAGAGGTAATAGGTTATGCAGGAAGGAAGAAGAATCAGTCCATTGAAAGGGACATAATTATTTCATTTAGGGGTGCGCGATAGACTTACCTCCACGTGGTGCACCCTGGGCAACATATACTCATAAGGCAAAAAAGTCAATAAACCGGTAGTTGACTTCTGACTTCAAACTACCATCACCCCACTGTATGCCATATTCGACTACTTTCACAGCACTCACGTCACCTTTTTTCTACCTTTGTGTCTGTCCCTTTTACATCTTTGAATCTATCTTCTGCTCCCCCTCTCGAATTTTTCTCACTTTGATGTTCCTTTCCCTCTGTGAAGCTCGAAGTCAACTAAAGGGCTAATGATAACCATAAAAACGCTTGCCATTAGATATAAATAAAATTATTTCACTCATCCACCGCTTAAAGACAATATGCTACCTTTTTCCTATTAGCTCATTTGATGCGGTTGGTGAGGAGAATTGTATTCGGATAAGTGGTGTTCCAATTATTCCTATATCTTACTATAAGACCTCGAGCAATCGAAATCGGGTCTTGAGAGCCCCTGTTGATTTTCGCGTTGAAGAAAAAACTCTTTTTTATTGTGAAACAATTAAATGAAATCTATTTTTATGATCATAAAATCAAATTTTTTGTTTTCAACCATTCTTATTTCATTATTGACTGCGTCGTGACTGTTTTTCAATTTCCTTTTGGATTTTCTGTACTTTATTCGAGTCATAGAGCGCAGTAGTCTACACACTTATTGATTTTAAGTTGCTGCTTTTATAAATACGCCATTTATTTGCCGTTTTATTACTTTTATTCAATAAATCAATGGAAACTGGGCGCACCTAGACGTACTGCCTAGATGAATTTATGTTGGGGATATCAGGGGTCGGTCACACCGCATCGATTTCTTTTTATCTTGCTTCACCCAATGGCGGAAAGATAAAAGCAGCAGCGATTTTTAGAAAAGCAATACTCAGTCAAGGTGAACTCCATATAATAAGGATTTTGCAAATAGGACACCATTTTATTCCTGCCTAGCACATATTGTGATAATTGATCCATGTCTATTAATGATTACCTTTTTGCGACCAAAATCAGGGGCCACTCCTCTAATAAGCGAAATCATCGATTGTCTTATGTTTTGTAATAAAATGTCCTGGTTAGGGATGGGGTGGGGGGGGGGGGGGGGGGGGGGCGGTTGGTTGTGATTTTGGAAAGCTTCCCTAATCTTCATGTCTAAAAAGTAGTGGTTTGGCTCAGTCACATAAAATGATATCATGTTTGATAATTGATATTGTATACGTTGAAACTCTACATTAGACTATTAATCCTGTGTCCCCAATTAGCACACATTGTTAATTAAACTTGCCTGCTTTGTATTGATTATTATATTACTTGATTAACTTTAAACGCCTTGTTTGTTCTCCAAAATCGTAACTGTACTGGGAAGCCCGCTTACTCTAGGACTTCTGACTCCATTTATGGTGGGGGTGTGGGGGAGGGGTGTTGGCATGGGACGCACTCATTAATCGAAGGGAGGTTAGTGAGTCATTCAGTTGGCCGTTGTGAATGCTTAATTGATGGCGTATTTTAAGGGCTCCAATAGAAAGCACTTATATGTCCCTACAAAAAATGGTCGTTTCATTCTACTTATGATCAAGTTAAATATCATTTTAACGTCCAGTATATTGTCCATATTCCCGTAATTCCTCCAATAACTCGATTTGTCAATATAATTATACTCCTGTAAGTAATTTACAGTCACACGACCCAACGTTTGGAATGGCAGTTTAGACAGAAAGTTGGGCTTCTTTTTCCAGCCTTTCAATGTTTGATGGCATTGTTGGCGTTTACAGAAGGAATTTACTATTTCGGTCTTTATGCCACTGATGTTTGGCTAAACTGGTGTGCCTTAATTCTACCCCCCACCCCCCTCCCCCATCCGGGTCCAGATGGATATAACGTTTGCCGAGGCTAACGCTAGGTTATGGAGAACTTTGTTTCTTGAACCACAAAATGAGCGTGAGCGTGGTGCCTTCAATCGATTTGGCTGTAGCAGTTGTACATGCCACTAGTGTTGTGGTGCTTTGCGCTTGTCATGCTATTATCATTTGCGAAGATTATTTTTTTTATTTCAAATGGCAGGTGTTCAGGTAGTTGTCATTAGCCCTTTAGTTGACTTCGGAGGACTTCACAGAGGGGTGGGGAGGAACATCAAAGTTAGAAAAATTCGAAAATTTGAAGGAGACAAACAGACAGACACAAAGGCAGAGAAAAGGTAGGGTGAGTACTGCGGAAGTGGTGGAATATGACATACAGTGGCGTCATAGTAATTTGAAGTGAGAAGTCAACTGTCGGTTTATAGACTTTTTGCCGTATGAGTATACGTTTTCCAGGGTTCACCACGTGGAGGTAAGTCCACTGCACACCCCATTTATGACGACTAGATGTGCTTTTGTCGCATCGACTGTAATTCATCATCTCCCCTCCTTATTGTTTTGTGGTTACTAAAGTTATCGTGTTGGATCACTTTACTGCACAATCAATCACAGTCATATTAAAATGCTAATGTCTCTTGGAGCACTCACGTTAAAACGTTATGTTTGAGAACTAGGGGTTCTATTTTCAGTGCAATGCGTGCCCACATGGAATGACTTCATGACAAATTCCCATTAAGATCTCTTATATGATCAAGCAATGTTGCGTGGTTAGCTTTTCACTGTTGTCGTACTCTAACAAAATTTCCCCTATTTTAAATTGAATTTGTTTTTTTCTTCCCATAGACAACTGAAGCATGAAAATTTGTTGGCATTGCTAGGTATCACTGAGGACAAAGAGGTGACAGTGACTGAATCTGCAGTATCGTCGGCGGCGGCAGCAGCAGCAGCAGACAAATTATCTTTGTCATCCTCCACGCTCTGTTTAGTCACCGAATTCTCTCCCCTCGGATCCCTTCTTGCCTTTCTTCGCTCACGTGGACGCACCGTCATTACTCAGTCCGCTCTCCTCTCATTCGCCACGTGAGTCTTTGTTTTCTTATCCAGCTGATGACGTGGTGGTTATTGCGTTCATACATTGAATTAAAACCGACTAGTGATTAACGCAAACGAAATTAGAATTCCTCATGTGTGCATGGTATGTTCAGGAGGGAAGTTGTGTACCATCGAACTATTCTTCTTTCTGCGTGTTTCAGTTACCACCCTCTTCTAACTATATGACTACACTACAGTTTAAATAACCTATGCAAACGAACTTCTAATGCATTACTTGATTATTGGGCTCGGGGTTAGTAATACCTGTTGGTCAACGAAAAGCACGAATACCTTTCATGAGTGGTAAACCTCCTCAACGAGCACGTGGCCATGGAGAAATGCAAATATGGCTGTATTTAGTTCCTAGTTAGTCAGAACTGTCATCAGTAAATGACAGTAGCAAATCAGTAATAAACAATCAATAATGAAAGGGCATAGTAATTCATATTGATCAAATGTGTGCAAATGGAAGTAAGTCCAGTTTAGTCTTCGAATGTCGGTGATATTCAAGCAAATATTTGAAGAATATACTTTTGTATAATTGTAGTAACGAAACTGTTTTAATCGCGCATCAATCTTGGTGTAGAAAGTGGAGGTCCACTAGTCCGTTGTTGGAGTTCAAGCTGGAAAGTGTAATTCATGGCATAAAAATGTGGTGAATATAGCTATATCATTTGCAATAACTTACTTTAGTAAATTATCATTAATAAAATGACGTTAATATAACTTGTCATGGCAATACTTCACTTTACTTAAATGCAATGTGAATTGGTTGGGGATTTTGCAACTTCTCAACTTCGCTAAGAAAATGGGCCTTCATTAATTTAGGAATATCTTTACAAGAAATTTCCAAAAATGACCACTGATACCAGTGGAATAAGTTGGCATATACTAATCACCGTTTTACTGTTAGATCTAAGACTCCTTTTAGAGATTACTGTGTTTATTAGGCCAATTTCACGAAAAATGCCTAAGTAAAAGCCTTAATAGCAATTTTATGTAATATTTTCGAAGCACCTCATTTTAGTGTGTAACGCGGTGATTATTCACAAGGCCCCAAATATGCTCCTTTCGATTAAGTTAAAATAAGTGAACTCACAGTTGAGGCACGGGCGGTGATTGCTGCTTGAAGGGAGGCCATATTCGATGCTGGAAGAAAACAAAGAAGACCCCAAAAGATGGCTGCAAATACAGACAGCATCAGTGCTACACCAATCGTGATGACCCCATAATCAAACATTCCCCTAAATGGAAAATCCGAGGTTTTAATTCACCAAACACTTGATTGGACTATCACAATTTTGAACGATCTTAATGGCGTTCTGTTATTTCTGTTATTATTTTATTGGCGATACTAGATGATGGTTAAAATATGTTACCTAATTCTCTCTGCCATTTACTTTTCAATTTAAATAGTGTTAAATCTACTACCACGTCGTGATATTCTATCATTTACACATGATGTGAGCGTCGACACCATCTACTTTTGTTGTGTAGCTATTCCTATCGATTTTACCTCCATCGCAAGTAGGTTGTAGTTAAGGCGCAATTATGCATTTCATCGTGAGGATGGAAATAGTGTCTGAATGCACAAATAAGATATTCAGTTAAGTCTTGAAACAATATATTCGAAAGTCGAATGTGGGTTGCATATCACAGAGCCTAAGTGTATTAATGAATAAGGGCTTCTCGTAGAGTGTTGGGAAGAAAGCTTGGCAAACTGGGATGTCACTTACATTCTCGTTTTGATATCTCCATCCTCAATGTAATACTCATCGTCGTTGCCGTCAAAGTCGAGGACCATCAGAGTCGCGCCAGTGATGAAGGCCACCATTGAGAGCACCAAGCACACCGTTCCACCGGCCTTAAGCCTCTTATTCTGGGTTTGTATTTGCTGCAGACGTCTCTGAATTCCGGCTGACGTGATGTAATTTCGATTTGTCGAGGAGGTAACGAGTACCATGATTGCAGTTAATACCTGAAAAAGTTATTAATTCGCATAAAGCATTATATGAAATGGTTCCTGACATTGTCGTAATTTCCCTCAAAATCAGTTATCATGTAATCATAGGCTGCTATTGAGTGGGTTGAATATGAATTACCTCAATCCAAAGTTAACTCCTTAGGTGCTCAAGCATTGAAGGAAGTGCGTGTAATGAGAATAGGTAGCATATATATGTATTATGCATGATTAGTTGAAGCTCAAAGTCCAAGCTCTGTTAATTACATTGCACGCCGTCAATTGGCCGTGGGCACTGCACTTAGACTGTGAATTGTGTAAGTACTAGTTGGGTACTCTTTCAAATCAATCCCAAAGCTGCCGTTTTTCTGATTGGATGTTTCATCCCATCTAGTAGACCACTTCTCCCGCTCAACTAATCACTAACTGGATCTGATGGCATTTTATCAACGGCGATTCGTTGATAAAATGCCTTGTCTTACCCATCATCTTATTCGGGTGATTATGTCATGAGTTGTAAATCATCTGGGTAATTTGAAGTTAATCTCACACAGACTACGAAGGGCGGTTGACCGATTTCGACTCCTTTGTTCCATATCAATTTTAGAGGAGGTGTGCCAGAAGGCGTACAGTGGAAGGAGAGGTTGAGTTGGGCTGAGTGAGAGCATCCAAATACTAGAGATTGTAGATGACTGGCATTCACTTCCATTTCGGTACTTCTATGCAGACGTATCAAGTAATAGGAAATGCTTACTCTACTTTTTCCACATCTCTTTCACACTTTCGTCCTTCGAACGTGACACATGAAAGTGTCAAGGAAGCCTTGTGGCTACGTTGAACAACTGCGTATATTTTGCATAGAATGAAATAAGCACAAAATAATAACTAGGCTCTTTGTCCAATTCAATTACTGCTCTGGGATGAGCTTGAATTGGCTACTCACTAATCTGAAATTTGCCACTCAGGAGATTGGTATGCAGAACCATTAGCAACTGCTTAATTAATAAAATTTACTTCAACTTTCAATTTCACAAAGACAAAGCTTTGAAAATTTGTTGGTCACACTTAACTTCTTGACATGTGATGTATGGGCGGGTCTTGCAAATCGATACATGCGCCCTAGTTAGGAAAATCAATTGCTGACGCTTGGTTTTACAAAGTAGACGCGTACTTTATCATTCTCTTGTCGAAATGGGCGCTAAATTTAGTGTTCCTCAATTTGGGTTGGGGAATTTTGACGCTTTCTCACATTGTTCTTTTCAAGTTCATAATTTCCTGCGATCGCGCAAGAATCTAACTGAAGTTAAAAGCTCAACTAGCAATGTGGCCAAGTCATGCGATCATCAGGGGCCTGGCGATAGGGTGAACATCCTAGCCGGTCTCAAAGAGGCAACTCATCCAATACCGGGCGGCAATGAGATGAGTTCTTCGGAGACTAATTATAGCAAAACGGGCATCTCATCAACGAACAGAGTTGTAGTGAGCCTTCTGAAGAGCCTCAAAACACTTGAGATTCAAGACAAAGTGGCTCAGCACGAAGAGATAGCTTTGGAACGCCAGGAAGCCCAAAACTATGGACTGAAATGCAATGCAGCTGGAGACTCTCGTGCCAATCAAGTGTCTTTCAGGAGCACTTTAAGTTTGGGAGAACAATCGTTGCTAGGTTTTTCCACGACCCAATGTGGTGACGTTATCTATACAGCGTTTATTAGAATGAAGAATGCCAGAGTTGATGAATATGAAATTCTCAAGAAGACATCAGCACGCAAAATCGCAGGACTTGAGAGGCAGCTAAAGTGTAAAATCAAGATGTATGAGGAGGCGTTTAAGATGCGAGCACAGATTGTGTTCAAGTTTGAAATTCAAGGATCGAATTACAGAGATGTGCTAAAGTGCAGAACTTCTCTACCGAATAGTATAACAGAGAGGCTCGTGAGTGCCGATAGCTTCCTGGAAGAGTGTATTTAAGGTATATTCCAGAGTAAAGTAGTATTGTCTCCTATCTAGAACACTTGGATAAAATAAACTTATCAATTTTGAAGCCCTAATTAAGTTTTTTATTGTTGTACTGGTTCTTTGAGTTGTATCCAATTAACTAGCGCGTTTTTGTTTTTGGGTTTGTGAAAAGTGGATGCTTAACGTGAACAAAACTGTTGCATGTTGTGCATGACCTGAATAAATTATCTCCAAAATGTAATTTCTTATTTCTTCGCTTGTGCTATGTTGGGCTCTGCTAGTGGGCGATGATTATGAACCTGCTTTTGGCACTCTTCGTCTTCAGTTTTTTTCCTGTGTAACATTTCAATTCCCATTTTCGTCTCAAACTCGTGATATCGGCATTAATTTTACTCGAATCACTTTTGAGCTTCCTTTTAATTGTCTGTTGCAAGTTCTATAAGTCCTACTTGTCATAGAGGCGGTTGTATTGGTTTTTATTTCATTGTGATATACAAACACGATTTATAGAATCTTATTGTGCTTGTTGCCCTGTTCTTGTTCCGAAAATATACTTTTGTCCAAACCACGAAATGTATTATGCCTATGCATTAGCAATGTCTCCATTTTTCTATTTTCCATTAAGCTAATTATTTCTTTGTATTTATAGTAATATGTCTGCAACGAAGCGCCTTTTGACATTATTTGTTTGACACACTCAATTTGTATATTTTTTTGCGCATTTTTTTTTATTTTCTTCAGTTCTTCTCCAAAGTTGACAACTATTTAAGCTTACGAATATCAAGTGATTCCGCCACTTATTAGTGTACTTCTTAAAGCTCTCTCCACTTAATATGTTTTATTCAAATTATCTGGTCTAAAGTAAATCGGATCGTAATTTGGCAACTTATATTGTGTTCATTTTTATTTTTTTAAATCTTCAAAGCTCTGATTCTTGCTTCTCTATTTGCTGTTGCTTAGATAGCTCTATATTGCTTTATCCAAATCTCTCCTTGGCTATAACATTTTTTGCCAATCGAGTGAACATAATTATAAGTTACACTCGCTTTCTGTAGGGATGTGGCTAGGGGTTTGGCTTACATAGAATCGCGTTCATTTCTGCATTGCGATGTAGCATCTCGCAACGTCCTTCTTTTTAACCCCTCCACCCTCCACGCCGCCCCCTATCCTGTTGCCAAGTTGGGCGATTTTGGTTTGGCTTTTCGTCTCCGACCGGCGGCCACCAATGGTCAACATCGTCAAGACTACGAAGCCTTCGATGATGATGACAATGTTAGCTGTGACGACAATGCAGTAGTCTTCGACGGATCGCAGAGGATGGCCAATAATATCACTCGCATTCCAATCAAGTGGACAGCTCCAGAAAGCATTAGGACAAGGGTAAGTGACTCATTGCACTATCTGATTTACTCTTTTTGTCAATTTGTATGAGAATCTGGGAGAACTAGATGTGTTGTCGATGCGCGCTAATTTCGATTTCGCTTCTACTAGTTTATTTACTTCGGGTGGTTCCTAAACTCTTCTAAATCTAACGCAGAAATAAAAATGCTTCCATTTTCTGGTATAATCCTTCTAGAGGCACACTTGCACCCCTGGTCTGTTCATCATATATTCTGGAGTTTTTGAATTATTATTAGTGAGTTATTGGGAAGCAAATGATTGGACTAAGCCTTGGAAGACCGATTTTGTGCAAGGCATTGCCTGTATTTCGAGCACTGTTCGCGAACATACATGCGCTCTAAGTGATTTAAGCGGTCTTATTTAGAATTGTTGGGAAATATCTGTGCCTAGTTGTTATTACCTACATTAAAGTGGGAAAATGAATATATAATAACTGTTTTTTATTATTCATTGTATTTATTATATTCTATGCTTTTTCGATTTAGTTATTTATGTTGCATAAATTCATTGACAGTTATGATTCTGCCTTTGGGATTGTGGTGGATGTTTATTGCATGCCAATGACAATTCTAGGGGATTCTGTACTGTGTTTTGATTTTCCTGGCATTTGACGGTTTACGGAAAGTCTTTGCTCCTTTATTATATGGAGTTTTATTGGGTATTCTTATTTGGAGAAACTCAATAATTATTCGCTATCTACGAAAATACGCTTCTTTCCCACCTAAAACGTGGATAAGGTTTTGCCTTCCATCCATACCTAACTATTGGGCTAATTCTTTTTCCGCTATTCGCATTTTTGATAATTAATGCCCTTGTCAGCTCAATCATTACTGCGATTGTACCTAAACCTCTCATCACCTTCATTTCTCTCCCTTTCTGGCTTCTCAAACTGCTCATCTGATTCAGGAAAAGCCGTTGTTTTTGCTAACCATCGAACTCTCTTTAGTCTCTTAGTAGAGTCAATCTCCTATAATCTGGGGATCGTTTAGTGTACTGCTACTAACTCCATTTCCATGCCTCAAGCATAACGCTAGCGTTCAAAGCGTCTTATAAGAGATGAGTGGATGATGGTGTGTTCGATCTTTTGAGTTTTCCATTTGGGCTTTGAAGGACTTTTTGAGGCAATTTCGATGATGTCGTAGTCGCTGCTTCACCGAATTCAAGAGAAGAATGCTCACATCAACGGACAGAGCAAACGAAAGGAAGCATTTGAATGTATTTATTTCAAATGGCAGGCGTTATGATAGCTATCACTA